GCGTCCCCCGAGCTGAAAACGGGCACTTCCGGTATTTCCGGAGGGCCCGTTTTTCGGCCTCCCGAGGCTGCAAAGGCTTCCCTCAAGCCTTGGGAGGGCGAAAACGGCCTCAAACTGGGCCTAAAATCAGCTGGGAGGTGTGCGCATGTGCAGTGCAGGTAAGGGGACAGGGCGAGGGTGTTGCATGTGCGGGGGGGAGGGGGGCGCATTGCATTGTGGGTACCGGCACGCAAGCGCGCTATTGGCATACCAAAACAAAAAGGTTCACCATCACTGTTCTAGCCATTCTGCCTGCAGGGAGAGAGATTGCTGATGGTGTATCAACATCTGTCAATCACCTCCAGTTGTTTTGTGATCGTTGCAATCTCCCAGATGTGGGGTTTCCCCCCCCCCCCACCCTCAACACTTATTTGTGGGAGTTATATTCCCCCAAATTGGAATTCCCACCAACTGTAGTGTGCTGATCATCCCTTTCTCAAGCGGGCGGTGGTGATGTTACGGCCCTCCCAACTTCATCCTGCTCCCTTGGGAAGTTGGGGAATCTCCTGGCGATCCCACGGAGAATCCTTGGTGAGGATCATGGAGGTTATGGGGAAATCCAAGGCTTCTGCTAGCATTGCACTCGTGTTGGAAGTCCTGCGGTGCTTCCAGGTTGAAAGGATCAGCCAGTGATATCACCGTTGTCCCGGGTGGGAGGTGTTCTTTCATGTCCCCAGCAGGAGCTGGAGCAAAGGACGGGAGCTCATCCCAACTCACGGCAGCGCTTGGGTCTCGAACGTGGGCTTGCTAGCCTCCCACCCAGGATCCTGACCACGTGAGCCACTGTGCTCCTTTATCCTTCTGGTATGAGATGGAGTCTAATTTCTGGCTCCCCCCACCCCCCCTTTCTATTAGAATGAACACGCAGCTGCAACTCAAAGCTATGGCCCTTCTGATTGCTCTCCTCCTCAATGCTGGCGAGGCAGAAAGAAGGGTAAGGCAGATGTTTTAAAATCTTATTTCTTTAGAACTTACACCGGGGGGGATATATATATTTGCATAAGTCTTCCCGTCTGTCCTGCAAGAGAAGGATGGGTCTGGTCGAATGTAGGATTGTCTCACCGCCTGTTTTCCATTTCTAGGATATGATGGACTACCTAGGGGAGAAGAACCTCCGGCAGTTTATCCACAAGGTGGGCATGGAGGTGGCATCTGTTTCCTTCCCTCAAGCTTCTTCGCTCCTTCACAGCTTGGGCTGCCAGGTCTAACTTTCAGGGGCTTTCTTTGCTTCAGCCCAACCAGTCAGTGGTGGGATTCCAATTTGTTGACTACCAGTTCTGTGGGCGTGGCAGGGGAAGGATACCGTAAAATCCCCATTCCCTCCCCACCCTACTAACCTGATTTTCAGCTCCGCTCTCCTGTTCGGGGCAACCAAAGAAGACCCAGACGATCAGCTGGGACTCCGTACGCAGGGGATAGATGGGGGTCAGGGGCCAGTCAGAGGTGGGATTTGCCAGTTCTCCGAACTACTCAAAATTTTCGCTATCAGTTCTCCAGAACTGGTCAGAACCTGCTGGAGACTTTGCCTAACCTGCAGCTTCTGGGCTTAACACTTTCAGCTCTGTAGACAGGCACATTTGTCCTTGCTGAACCCCACGTTGGGAAGTGAGATGTTTGCTCCCAAGGGGAATGATGGGTCAGTGTCATATTGTGCCCCTCTTGGACTTCTTCTTCAGAACATTGTCCATGCTTCGGACCCAATTGCGGATGAGATGGCTCACTACCTCTACGTCCTGCAGTCCCTCACACTCAACCTCCTGGAGCGTCGAATGAGGGCCCCCATGGATCCCTATTCTCAGGTCTGTGCCCTGGTCTTGAGTTCCTCTTCTGTGTGTGTGTGTGTGTGTGTGTGTGTGTCTTATTGATGCCTTGAGCGGCCATTGCCTTCCTCCTCCACCAGCTAGGAAATCTGTTTGTTTTTGATGTGCAGGAACAACGGGACCTCCTCCAGTCTTTGCGCCATGCTGCCTTTGTGTCTGAGAACGAGTCGTCCGCTGGCAGCTATAACACTGAGCGTCGGCACTCGCTTTGCGCGAAAGAATTCCGCAAGCTGGGCTTTGTGGTGAGTTCTGCTCAGACTCTTTGAAGCTGCTTCGAAGCAGGAGGGGGCTTATCATGGTGAGCCCAGCCAGGATCTACTTATCTACCGACCGACCTACTGTACTGACCAAGGCTTCTTCCCCCAAAAGCTCTAAGCAGACTCTTTGTCCCGGCAAAACCCCTTTTATTAAACGAAGGTGAATTTCTTGCATTCGCATTCAAACCAAAGGCCTGGCAAACAGTCTTTCAAGGGTGTAATCAGGAGCACAGACCTTATCTAGCCTGGGAGAGCTGCCAAGTAAATATTTCCAAACGCAGTGCTGACAAGGAAGGACTCGGCACAAAGTGTCTGAGATGCACAGACAGATCTTCACACTGCAACGAACTAACGGTTTCCTGCAAAAGCCCCCTCCCCTTTTGCTCCTCTTTTAATCCCTAGGGGAGTGGGCTCTCATCGTCCACCTGTGGCTTTACACTCACGTCGACCCTTAGTTCGTCATTGCTCATTTCTTTTGGCAGCTGTGCACATGCGCAGGCTGGGAACTGGCTCCAGCTGCTCCTCCTCCTCACTGCTGTCTGAGCCCGAAGGCAGCTGATGACTACCAGCCTGCCCTGGCCCCATCTCTGTCTCTGACGCAGAGCCCTCGTCTGAGCCTTCCTCAGCCTCCAGGACTGGCCCATGTTCTTCCCCAACCTCCTCACTGTCCAACTCTGCTGCCAGCTCCGCTAGCCGCCAGTGGGCCACAACACCTCCCTCCCTCTTTGATATCTATGCTGCCCATTTTGCCTAGAGATGACTCGAAGTGGTTTACAAACATTAAGAGCCAGCAAAAGAAATAACATACAGTTATAAGGTGGGGGGGAAAGGGTGCAACATGCACACGGAGGATGGTGGGATCTTCTCTTACTCTGTTAACCACCTCCAAGGTGATGCACTCCAGCTGGGGCCCCAGGCCACTGGCAGAGCCAAGTCTTCAGGTCCTTCCGGAAGAGCAAAAGGGAGGGTGGGTGTGGATCTCACCTGGCAGGGGCACAGTGTTCCAAAGAGTAGGAGCCGTTGCAGAAAAGGCTTTTCTGGAGCCTGCCAGCCGAAATTCCTTGACTGTCGGGGTTCGCAGCATGCCCCCTGTGCCAGCACAGGTGGGCAGGCCAATCCCATGGGGTGAGACAGTTCCTCAGATAGCCTGGACTCATGCCGTGAAGGGCTTTCAAGGTGATAACCAAGGGCTACAGAGTGGACAAATTTTGGTGCAAAAGTGAGTGGGGCTACAATGAGTTAAGTACATGTTTTTTGAAGTACTGTTGTAGTAGAAGAGGAGGCAGAACTGGAGGGTGGAGTAAAACATGTCATCAGTTTAGAGTAATTGCTTTGCGACAAGAGACCTAAGTCAAGTCCTTACCTAGCACCAATTTACTACTGATGTCAACTTTCGTTGACTAGATTCTTGTGTCTAGGTAGCAATAACAAACTCTTCTGTGCTTTGAGCCCGACGAATAATCCTGATAATTTGCGCCTGTGACAGTTGTGGAGCTTATTGATGTCAAGACCGTGGAAATGTGAGTTGTATCCTGTATGAATTTTCTCATGTTGCTGACTAACCTTCTCTTTCAGAATAACAGTAACCCTGCGTTGGATCTGCACCGAACTCCTCCAGGGTTGCTTGCCCTGGACAGCATGGTTTATTTCTCCAGGCATTACCCAAATGTATACAGCAGGGTAAGAGAAAGATGTTTTCCTGGTAAGGCTGCTCCTTTGCCTGGGTGCTGCTTGCTTGCTGGATTTCTTCTCTAACAATAAGAAGGCTCTGGGATTCATTAAATAGGATTTGTACACATAGTAACAATTACAATAGCACTTAGACTTCTGTACCACTTCATAGTGCTTTACAGCCCTATTTAAGCAGTTTACAGAATCAGCCTATTTCCCCCAACAATCTGGCTCCTCATTTTACCCACCTCGGAAGGATGGAAGGGCTGAGTCAACCTTGAGCCGCTCAGGATTGAACTGCTGGCAGTCGGCAGAG